AACTAGAGACACTACATACTGATATACACCTGAACATCAGCAGGAGAGGACTCTTTAAAGTAGAGACACTACATACTGATATACACCTGAACATCAGCAGCAGAGGACTCTTTAAAGTAGAGACACTACATACTGATATACACCTGAACATCAGCAGCAGAGGACTCTTTAAAGTAGAGACACTACATACTGATATACACCTGAACATCAGCAGGAGAGGACTCTTTAAAGTAGAGACACTACATACTGATATACACCTGAACATCAGCAGGAGAGGACTCTTTAAAGTAGAGACACTACAACAATCTCAATATTTGGCAGCAAAAATGTAAGTTTTTTTTAATTGGCATAAAAGGATACATGTTGAGATAGGAAGTTCTAATATCTAAAGAGAAGAGCTTGAATATTAAAAAATACAAACTCTTTTGGCTCCTTCCTGTCTTGCTACTGGGTCTCTCTTGGCTTTGTACTGGCTATCTTCTAGCTCTATTCAGGGTTTTGGAGTTTTTCTAGCTCTATCCCTGATCATTTTCAGAACCTGAAGACTATACGGACTATCTTCTGGTCATAGGCGGCGCGTGAGGCTCAAGTTTGGGAAGGCTAAACTACTAAATTAAATGGTTTCGTTTATTAACGCTACAACATAGCGTATTGTGAGGCGGTTGTCGTTGTTACAACGTTACAATGTTGATAATGACAATAGATTTGACCCTTAATGTCTACCCCTGCCCGGTGCCGTATAAGCTTTTTATTTGTATTGTTTATCAGTAGAGGTTGCTGCTTTATTCCTTGTATCTGTCCAACAACTTTTTAAAACAATAAACAGTGTCAATATCAATACTTGGCAGCTTATAACATTGTCCTACCTTAATGCAGAAATATGCGACGCTTCGCCGTGGCATCATAGGCGTCAATAATGTCCTCTGCTTTGATTTTCTCTGTGAGGTTGCTTTCAATGTGAAGCAGGCTCAGTGTTGTCAACCTCTCCTGATGCATCGTTGTTCTGAGCCAGTTTGCTGAGAACGATCTCTCACATGTTGCTGTGCCAACGGGTAACGAGAGAGCCAGGCAAAACAGCTTTTTGAAGTTAGGATAATGTCCAGTGGCAAGTTCCTTTTTTATATTTTCAACCGATACGCTTGGGAGTTTTGTCGTCACCATTGTCATCTCAGTCAGTGCAAGTTGTGGGTTGATGGAGAGGAGGCTTGCGTATTGGCTGAGAAGGCTCTGCTCCTCTGAAGTCACATTTAAACACTGCATCCACACTTTCTGCAATGGCCATTGACTGCGGTGAAAACCGTGTTGAACACTCACCAAGAAGTGTATCCAGCACAGGATAGTAGAGCTGAATTGCCCATTTATTTTTCAAGCTGTTTTTGTCTGTGCTTGTTTGGTACTCTCTTTGGCCAAGGGTGCTGGTGACAAATGCACAGTCGAGAGCAGACGGTTGTTTGACAGGCCTCTTGCACGGTCTCTCGTCGTTCTCTTCAATGCATACGCCAACTGACTGACAGAATGCTTGGATTTCAATCCAGATGTCCTCCCACTTTTGACTTGTTGAAAAACCCATTGCTGTGCGATTAGAAAAAGATGAGAGAGGCCTGTAATCTTCATCCTAGGTACACTTCAACTATGAGAGACAGAATGGGGGGAAAGAATCCAGGAAATCACATTGTAGGATTTTTAATGAATTAATTGGTAAATTCCTCGGTAAAATAAGTATTTGGTCACCTACAAACAAACAAGATTTCTGGCTCTCACAGACCTGTAACTTCTTCTTTAAGAGCCTCCTCTGTCCTCCACTTGTTAACTGTATTAATGGCACCTGTTTGAACTCGTTATCAGTATAAAAGACACCTGTCCACAACCTCAAACAGTCACACTCCAAACTCCACTATGGCCAAGACCAAAGAGCTGTCAAAGGACACCAGAAACACAATGGTAGACCTGCACCAGGCTGGGAAGACTGAATCTGCAATAGGTAAGCAGCTTGGTGTGAAGAAATCAACTGTGGGAGCAATTATTAGAAAATGGAAGACATACAAGACCACTGATAATCTCCCTCGATCTGGGGCTCCACGCAAGATCTCACCCCGTGGGGTCAAAATAATCACAAGAACGGTGAGCAAAAATCCCAGAACCACATGGGGGGACCTAGTCAATGACCTGCAGAGAGCTGGGAACAAAGTAACAAAGGCTACCATCAGTAACACACTACGCCGCCAGGGACTCAAATCCTGCAGTGCCAGACGTGTCCCCCTGCTTAAGCCAGTACATGGCCAGGCCCGTCTGAAGTTTGCTAGAGAGCATTTAGATGATCCAGAAGAGGATTGGGAGAATGTCATATGGTCAGATGAAACCAAAATAGAACTTTTTGGTAAAAACTCAACGAGACGTGTTTGGAGGAGAAAGAATGCTGAGTTGCATCCAAAGAACACCATACCTACTGTGAAACATGGGGGTGGAAACATCATGCTTTGGGGCTGTTTTTCTGCAAAGGGACCAGGACCACTGATCCGTGTAAAGGAAAGAATGAATGGGGCCATGTATCGTGAGATTTTGAGTGACAACCTCCTTCCATCAGCAAGGGCATTGAAGATGAAACGTGGCTGGGTCTTTCAGCATGAAAATGATCCCAAACACACCGCCCGGGCAACGAAAGAGTGGCTTCGTAAGAAGCATTTCAAGGTCCTGGAGTGGCCTAGCCAGTCTCCAGATCTCAACCCCATAGAAAATCTTTGGAGGGAGTTGAAAGTCCGTGTTGCCCAGCGACAGCCCCAAAACATCACTGCTCTAGAGGAGCTCTGCATGGAGGAATGGGCCAAAATACCAGCAACAGTGTGTGAAAACCTTGTGAAGACTTACAGAAAACGTTTGACCTCTGTCATTGCCAACAAAGGGTATATCTCCAAACCAACCAGCTTTTTGAACCCCTTCAGTCTGGTTTTCGTCCCCACCACAGCACAGAAACGGCCCTCATCAAAGTCCTCAATGACCTCCTCACCTCTGCTGACACCGGTTCCCTCAACATCCTCATCCTCCTCAACCTGAGTGCAGCCTTCGATACCGTGAGCCACACCATCCTGCTCACCCGACTCCAGGACATCGGTATCGATGGTACTGCACTCAGGTGGCTCCAGTCCTACCTCTCCGACAGATCCCACTTCATCTCCCTCAACAACCACTCCTCTTCCACAGCTTCAGTCACCCAAGGTGTTCCCCAAGGTTCAGTACTCGGCCCCCTCCTCTTCATCATCTACATCCTCCCCCTTGGTCAGATTCTCCGCAAATACAACCTGGACTTTCACTGCTATGCCGACGACACCCAGATTTACCTCAGCACCAAATCCCCCAACAACCCCCCCCCTCACCCACATCGAATCCTGTCTGACTGCACTAAAATCCTGGATGCAACACAACTTCCTCAAACTCAACAGCAATAAAACTGAACTCCTCCTCATCGGATCAAAATCCACCCTCAGCAAAACCCCCAACCTGACAATCACCATTGATGGCACCCCTGTTTCCCCCTCCACCCAGGCACGCAACCTTGGCGTGATATTTGACCCCACCCTCTCCCTCGAGCCCCACATCCGTCATGTTGTCAAAATCTCATTTTTCCACCTCCGCAATATTGCCAAACTCCGTCCCTCTCTCACCCGCCCTGCAGCTGAGCGACTCATTCACGCCTTCATCTCCTCCCGCCTTGACTATTGCAACTCCCTCCTCTACGGCATCAGTTCCACCTCCCTCAGTAGACTCCAGCGTGTCCAGAACGCAGTCACCAGACTCCTCACCCACACCAAATCATGGCATCATATCACCCCTGTCCTCAAAGAACTCCACTGGCTCCCCGTTACACACCTCATCAATTACAAACTCCTGGTCCTCACTTATAAAGCCCTCCACCATCTGGCCCCCCCCTACCTCACTGACCTCCTCACCCTCTACCAACCACCCCGGTCCCTCAGATCCACCTCAGCCGGTTTGCTTTCAATCCCCAAGGCCAAACTCCGGAGCTTCGGGGACAGAGCCTTCTCTGTGGCAGCCCCGAAGCTCTGGAACTCACTCCCCCAAGACCTCCGTGAGTCTGAGTCCCTCACCCTGTTCCAGTCCCGCCTCAAAACCCACCTTTTCAACTCTTTATCTATAAAGCCCCGCCCCCTCTTAATCAACTTCCTCCTGACTGCTTTTCTGTTGTGTTTTTTATTTTAATTTTTTTGTTTTGTTTTGTTTGTATACCCCCCCTCCCAAATGTAAAGCGTCTTTGGGTCCAGAAAAGCGCTATATAAAATTAATATATTATTATTATTATTATATAACAAAGTATTGAGATGAACTTCTGTTATTGACCAAATACTTATTTTCCACCATAATTTGCAAATAAATTCTTTAAAAATCAGACAATGTGATTTTCTGGAGTGTTTTTCTCATTTTGTCTCTCATAGTTGATGTGTACCTAGGATGAAAATTACAGGCCTCTCTCATCTTTTTAAGTGGGAGAACTTGCACAATTGGTGGCTGACTAAATACTTTTTTGCCCCACTGTATGCCATCTGCTGGAAAGAAGAGGTATCGCTCTGTTGGCGTTGTTTAGACAACAAAGACAGAGTGAAGCCCTCATTTCATAAACAATCTTTGAGTAGAGACACCGTCCTGCAGAGAGCACACAACCCAACAGCACGTTGTTGGTCCAGCATCACTTTACAAAACGTTTGCATTAAGACACTAAGACTAGCTGGTCCCTTGCAAAGGTGAGTCCACCTTAAATGAGCAGTGGGTGATCAGCAGGTGAAAGGCAGGACACGGGAACTTGGTCCTGAGGAGATGTAACGATTATTAAACGAGAAATAGCCTAATCAAGGGGTCAAAGAAATGAACATTTGTGACTATGAGTGAATCGCTTGCAGGTGGGTGAAATCAGGCTTAGGGAGTAACGTATTACATGTAACGGCATTAGGTCATCAGGATACAAAATAGACAAATGTATTCCCTTACAGTTACAGAAGCAGCTGAAGACCAACACACTTGTGTTTTTTGAAACGATTATGCCATTTTAATCTTTTGTCACAAACATTGCAGCTCTATTTTTCCTCTCCTGTGTGGACTCTCATGTGTGACTTTAAACTTCCACTCTCTGAAAAAGCTTTCTTACAGACTGTACAGCTGAATGGTTTCTCTCCTGTGTGGACTCTCATGTGTGTCTTTAAACGTCCCTTCTGTGAAAAAGCTTTCTTACAGACTGTACAGCTGAATGGTTTCTCTCCTGTGTGGACTCTCATGTGTGTCTTTAAACGTCCACTCTCTGAAAAAGCTTTCTTACAGACTGTACAGCTGAATGGTTTCTCTCCTGTGTGGACACTCATGTGTTTCTTTAAATTTTCACTATGTGCAAAAGCTTTCTTACAGACTGTACAGCTGAATGGTTTCTCTCCTGTGTGGACTCTCATGTGTTTCTTTAAACTTCCACTCTCTGAAAAAGCTTTATTACAGACTGTACAGCTGAATGGTTTCTCTCCTGTGTGGCCACTCATGTGTGTCTTTAAACTTTCACTATGTGCAAAAGCTTTCTTACAGACTGTACAGCTGAATGGTTTCTCTCCTGTGTGGACTCTCATGTGTATCTTTAAACGTCCCTTCTGTGAAAAAGCTTTCTTACAGACTGTACAGCTGAATGGTTTCTCTCCTGTGTGGACACTCATGTGTGTCTTTAAACGTCCACTCTCTGAAAAAGCTTTCTTACAGACTGTACAGCTGAATCGTTTTTCTCCTGTGTGGACACTCATGTGTTTCTTTAAACTTTCACTATGTGCAAAAGCTTTCTTACAGACTGTACAGCTGAATGGTTTCTCTCCTGTGTGGACACTCATGTGTTTCTTTAAACTTTCACTCTCTGAAAAAGTTTTCTTACAGACTGTACAGCTGAATGGTTTATCTCCTGTGTGGACTCTCATGTGTGACTTTAAACTTCCACTCTGTGAAAAAGCTTTCTTACAGACTGTACAGCTGAATGGTTTATCTCCTGTGTGGACTCTCATGTGTGACTTTAAACTTCCACTCTGTGAAAAAGCTTTCTTACAGACTGTACAGCTGAATGGTTTATCTCCTGTGTGGACTCTCATGTGTGACTTTAAACTTCCACTCTGTGAAAAAGCTTTCTTACAGACTGAGCAGCTGAATGGTTTATTTTCAGCACTACGTTGTGGATCACTGACAGATTCATGTCTATTTTTCAATGAGTTTGAGCCTGATGCAGGTTCTCTGGTCTCCTTCAAATCGGCACTGTCTTCAGTGTCAGGTTCAGAAGAGTCTCCAGCGTCAGGTTCAGAAGAGTCTCCAGTGTCAGGTTCAGAAGAGTCTCCAGCGTCAGGTTCAGAAGAGTCTCCAGTGTGGTCCTCAGTCTCAGGTTGTAAACTGCTCTCTGGATCTGAGCTCCTGGCTGGTTCTGGTCCTCCACAGTCCTCTCCATCAGCTTCTGTTTCCAGGTGTTCAGTTTGTCTTTGATGAGGCTGAGAGGACTGAGGTTTCTCTTCATCATCTTCACTCTTCACAGGGACAGGAGTGAAGATGAACTCAATGATATCAGCCTCCTCCAGCCCTTGAAGCTGCTCTCCCTCCGGACTGATCCTGAGTTCCTCCTGTTCCTGCTTAATGTGTGGGGGGGGCTCTGGGTCCTCCTGGTCCAGACTGGAGCTCCACTCCTGCTGGACAGGGAGAAGCTCTTCTTTAACCACCACCAGCTGCTGGACGTCTGCAGGAAACAGGAAACACACAGTCAGAACAAACTGCTAGCATTTAAAAACCTCATCACCATTACAATGGGAGACATTTTGCAGCCCTAATTAATGCCTTTGTTTTTATATGTTCACATTATCTTTCTTAGTCCCACTTATTGTGTATTTGTGTTGGCTCAAGTCACCTCATGTAGCCCAGCCCCTTTCCACTTCCAGTTAAAAATGAAAAAGGGTTTTTTCTTCTGGCGTAGCACTAGCCGCAATGTAAACAAGGAATTGTATTTGGGATCGTTCACAGATACATTACGCCTACAGTATAGAATTACAATACTCTGTTACAAATTAAAATCCTGCATTCAAACCTCATTTAAGTAAAAGTATGCAAGTATCATCAGATCATTGTACGGCACCTTCTTATGTAAAAGTAATGACGGTGCAGTAAAATGTTCCCTGTCAGTGTTCGATTTGAGGTTTCTTGATTATTTCGTATGTTGCATTTTACTGCTGTACATGTTCAAAGTTGCGCTTGTATAAATGATTATAGATGAGGGAACCTGCTAAATATTAAAATGTGTGTTTTTTATATACAGCACCAGTCAAAGGTTGAGACACCTTCTCATTCAATGTTTTTTGTTTATTTTAATTTGTTTCTACTTTGTAGATTAATACTGAAGACATCAAAACTATGAAATAACACATATGGAATTATCTAGTTAAAGGTGGGGTAGGTACGTTTGAGAAACCGGCTCGAAATACACTTGTTATATTCCATGGAATGCTCTTAACATCCCGATAGCAATGAATATCTTCAGTGCTTTGACAAAAAAAATCCATAAAAAAACGTAATCTGTGGAAGCCGTAGTACTGTAAAAAGCACGACCAATCATTTTAGGTTGGCCTACCTGCCTGTCAGCCTTCCATCTGTGCACAAACTTATCTCGTGCCCTCATTGGTCATGTGCGCGTTCGTGTGTGTTGGAGGAGGGGCTCTGTAAGGAAGTGGCAGATTTGTTCCGGTTGTGTATTTTTAAATTCCTGCGCACTCGAGCGGGTTTCTCCAAATTGGGAAAAGGGTGGCGCAGTGGTCTGTGCATCCGATCATCAGATCAAGGGGGAGTGCTGGGGAACTCCAGTTCGAAACCCGCTCCTGCCGCCACTGCGTCAGGCCGTACCCTGTGGGTATTGTCCACAGTACATGTATGGTATCAATGTGTACTTGTAAAAGCGGCTCGATGACCTCGAGGCGTGAAGATGGACGGTGTGGCGCAGTGCGCTGTGCAATGATCATCAGATCAAGGGGTGAAACCCGCCGCTGCTGCGTCTGTAAAGCCGGTGGGTCCTTGGGCAAGACACTTCACCTGAACTTGCTCCTGTGGGTATTGTCCACAGTATCTGACCATTGCATGTATGATATATGTGTAATGTGTGTATATGTAAAGCGCTTTGAGTCATTGAAAAAGCGCTATAATAAATGTAAGGAATTATTATTATTATTAAATGACCTACCCCACCTTTAACAAAAAAGTTTAAAAAAATCCAGAATATGACTTATTTTAGATTCTTCAAAGTAGCCCCAGTTGCCTTGATGACAGCTTTGCTCACTCTGGGCTTCTCTCCGTCAGCTTCATGAGGTCTTCACCTGGAATGGTTTCAATTAACACGTGAGCCTCGTCAAGAGTCAATGTGTGGAATGACTTGCCTTCTTAATGTGTTTGAGACCATCAGTTGTGTTGTGCAGAGGTAGGGTTAGTGCACAGTGGAAAGCCCTAGTTGACCACTGCTGTAATCCATATTATGGCAAGAACCACTCAACCCAGTGAAGAGAAACGACCGCCTATCATCACTTTAAGAAATGAAGGCCAATCGATCCGGAAAATGTCAAGAACTTTGAATGTATCCTCAAGTGCAGTCGCAAAAACCATCGAACGCTATGATGAGACTGGCTCTCATGAGGACCCCCCCGGGAAAGGAAGAGCAAGAGTTACCTCTGCTCAGAGGATCAATACATCAGAGTTACCAGCCTCAGCAACCGCAAGTTAAAGCACCTCAGATAAATGATCACAGAGCTCAAGGAGCAGACAATCTCAACATGCACTGTTCAGAGGAGACCGCGTGAATCAGGCCTTCATGGTCCAATCGCTGCAAAGATCCACTACTGAGGATGGACAACAAGGAGAAGAGAATAGTTTGGGCCCAGAAACACAAGGACTGGACATTAGACCAGTGCAAATATGTATAGGGGTGCACATAACTTTTCAGCCATAAACCTTGAACAATTAAATTCAATGATTCTCTCTTCTAAACCATCAACGTGCATGTTAGACCCAATTCCAACTAAGCTGTTGAAGGAAGTTTTTCCATTAATTAGCACTTATTTATTAAATATTATGAATATGTCTTTATTATCAGGCTATGTTCCACAATCATTCAAAGTAGCAGTGATAAAACCGCTTCTTAAAAAGCACAACCTCGATCCAGAGGTTTTAGCCAACTATAGACCTATTTCTAATCTTCCGTTCCTCTCAAAAATTCTTGAGAAAGCGGTCGCAAAACAGTTGTGTGATTACTTAAAAAACAATGATTTATTTGAAGCTTTTCAGTCTGGCTTTAGAACACATCATAGCACAGAGACAGCTCTGGTTAAAGTCACAAATGACATTCTAACAAGGCTCTGACAAGGGACGTGTCTCTATTCTTGTTTTGCTCGATCTCAGTGCTGCATTTGATACTATCGACCATGATATCTTATTGCAAAGACTAGAGCACTTAGTTGGCATACAGGGAACTGCTTTAGGCTGGTTTAGGTCCTATCTATCTGAACGCTCTCAGTTTGTACGTGTCAATGATGAATCTTCCACGCAAACCAAAGTTAGCCATGGAGTGCCACAGGGCTCAGTGCTCGGACCTATTTTGTTCACATTATATATGCTTCCGTTAGGCAATATTATAAGGAATCATTCTGTAAACTTTCATTGTTATGCGGATGATACTCAACTATATTTATCAATCAAGCCTGATGAAATTAATCATCTAAATAAAATTCAAGACTGCCTTAAGGACTTAAAAACGTGGATGACCTTAAACTTTTTGATGTTAAACACGACCAAAACTGAAGTTATTGTACTTGGCCCGAAGAATCTACGAAACAAATTATCTAAGGATATACTAACTATGGATGGCATTAATTTGGCCTCCAGTGAGACTGTAAGGAATCTTGGTGTTATATTTGATCAGGATTTATCCTTTAACGCCCACATAAAATCAATTTCAAGGACCGCCTACTTCCATCTACGTAACATTGCAAAAATCAGGCATATCTTGCCTCAAAACGATGCAGAGAAACTAGTCCATGCATTTGTTACTTCAAGGCTGGATTATTGTAACTCTTTATTATCAGGGTGTACCAAGAAGTCAGTCAAGTCGCTTCAGCTGATTCAAAATGCTGCAGCTCGTGTACTAACCAGAGTTAGGAAAAGGGACCACATTACTCCTGTTCTGGCTGCCTTACACTGGCTCCCTATAGAACACAGGATAGAATTTAAAATTCTTCTTCTCGCCTACAAAGCCCTTAATGGGCAGGCGCCATCTTACCTTAAAGAACTCATTATACCCTACTGTCCTACTAGGGCATTGCGTTCCAAGAATGCAGGGTTGTTGGTTGTTCCTAGAGTCTCTAAAAGTACAATGGGAGCCAGAGCCTTTTCTTATCAAGCTCCACATTTGTGGAATCAGCTTCCAGTTTGTGTTCGGGCGGCAGACACCCTATCCGTTTTTAAGAGTGCGCTTAAGACCTTCCTTTTTGATAAAGCTTATAGTTAGGGCTGATTAGATTCAGCCCCTAGTTTTGCTGATATAGGCTTAGTTTGTCGGGGGACATCTTACTTCTTCCTTCTCTCTGTCTATACCTGTGTACTCTCATGTTCCGATTAACCCAGCTTCCCCAAATGTCTTTCTTTTTGGTGTCTATATACGCCGGGATCCGGAGTCATGGATGATCCTGCGCTCCTCTGTCCTGGATCGCGAGCCCTGGATCTTGAGTCGTGGCTGTGGTCCTGGATCATAGGTCCTGGATGGATATCCTCGTGGATTCATCTTCCTATTATACACACATGCATTTCCAAACATTTGGACTACCTATGTTGCAAATGTATTATCTTTTCAATTTACACACGGCATCTATTGCACGTCTGTCCGTCCTGGGAGAGGGATCCCTCCTCTGTTGCTCTCCCTGAGGTTTCTCCCATTTTTCCCTTTAAACTGTGGGTTTTCTCCGGAAGTTTTTCCTTGTACGATGTGAGGGTCTAAGGACAGAGGGTCTAAGGACAGAGGGTGTCGTATTGTCATACTGATATTTTGTACAAACTGTAAAGTCCACTGAGACAAATGTAACATTTGTGATATTGGGCTATATAAATAAACATTGATTGATTGATTGATAACTGGTACGCAGGTACGCATGCGCGGCAAAAATCTGAATTGCGTAACGTCACTTGTGTCACTACGCGCCTTTGCGTACCTCAAAACATCTAAACAAAACACATATTTAGTCTACACGTGTTTCTTGTCAACAGTCAATGGAGTAAACTACGAGACATGTCAAAAAAACCAAAGACATTAAGCAGCTACGTTGCCGTTTCGCTCCCTGCAAAAACTCTTCGGACTTTCTGTGACTGACTGAACTGGAGCTGGCCGAGCCGCGCAGGACATAACCGACGGACCTGTGAAGCTTACAGAAGGCAGAGGCTTAGATCACCGGACGACAGAGTTGGTGCCGTGTGCACAGACAGGGTTAACGTCGGTATGAACAACAGAATTGTGCCAAAACTCCGCCAACTGGCTGCAGTGGGAGACTCCCCTGAGCACCCTCTGTGCCCCGCGCACACACTGGAGCACTGCGCAACATCAGCTGATCACAACGTTCACGCTCTGTGGTCAAGCTGCTGCAGTTTGATTTACAACAAAGTGGAGTGAAACACACAGCTGCAAACTTCCTCAGGGTGGAAGAGTTTGAAATCAGA